GATCGCTAAAGTGAGAAGACAGAAAGATAAAATGAGACAAGAGACAGTGGAAGAACATAACGTTGTGCTTACACAATTGCCAAGCTATGCGCTTATAACGGTCAATTGCCGGTACGATAAGAGAACCCAGACACAAGGTGGCACTTTGTCCCAAGGACTTTAAACTTAATCTCTCGTTCACGTTTACATTTATGAGAAAGTTCATCTCTATCTCTCACTCTCACTTTCTCTCTTTCTCTCTATTTAGTTACCAAAAGGAACTGGTAACATAAGATATCTAGACGATATGGTTATACTTCTTCTAAAAAAAAAAATAAATGCAGAAGTAAAATGCTAAACACAACAATCCTAAACTCTATCTCTCATTGACTCTCTTTCTTTCTCTCTAATTTCGGATCTTCGGATTGTTCCGTCGTCTCCATAGGATTAACTAGGAAATATCGGTCTCAAGATACATGTACACTAACACACATTCACACATTCACACACATATAAAACATACATAAATATATATACATATGTATGAAAGGGAATAGGATTATGATGGTAGTGGTAAGTGTAGGTTGTTGGATATGGCAAAAGGAAGAAGACTCGCAAGTAGTATAGCTCCGGCATTAACCAGCCGAATTTATGGAGTCGTCCAACTATTTAGATAGGCATATATATATATATACATATATGTATGTATCTATGTATATGTGTATATCACTACGTAAATATATATTCTATAGATAAAGAGGGTTGACTATGAGAAAGAAAGAGAAAGACAAAGAGAAAGAGAGACAGAAGAAGTCAAGCGATTTTGCTTTTTGCTTTCTCACTCATTCGTCGGAGTATTCCAGCTCGTTCCTTTCCTCTGCTACCCTCTTTCCATCACCAACCCCCGTTTTCAATTCTCTTCCAATGCAAAAGGACACGCGTACACACTCACCCACACATACACATGTATATATAGCGTTAAACGTAAATCGTGAAAATATTCACCGAGCATGTCCTGTTTACCACTACAACTTACTATTACTAATACTAATACTAACACTATTACATATTACTCTTCCACCCTCACCCTTACCCTCAGCCTCGTTTCGAGTAGGAGACTTTGCCGATGGTATTTCGGCTTAATTAGTTTTTCGTCGGCGGATAATCCGAGGCGGACGATTTGTCACCCGACAGCCATCTTTCTCTTTCTCTCTCTTTGAAAGAGCGAAGTTTATGCTCGCGGAATTAAGCCGCGGACTCGCAGTTACGAATAAAAGCTGTCCCATACTGCTATACTACTTCTGTTATACCCAAACGATATACTCGAGGGTTGAAGTTGAAGTAACAAAAGTAATAGTAGTAGTAGAAGAAGAAGAAGAAGTAGGCTTTGGACGAAGTCGAGATTAAGGCGATATTTAAAGGAGCGAAAGCCAAGTTGAACTTCCGGTTAGCACCGGCTACGTATTTGTAAGGGGTTTTGCTTTCTAACGCTTATATTTTACCTCTACTACTTACTTATTTGTAAATCTTATTGGAAAAGGGCCTAAGCCAAAAGAGGATTCCTTTTATCCTTGAATATAATTCCTTACTCGCGACACACAAATGCCCAAAGCGAATGATTGCCAAGAATCTCTTTTTCAAACGAGGGATAATATGTTTATCAAAGTTTCTCAAAAAGGGTCAAAGTTTTGATCTTTATTGCTTGACTGATGTTGGTTAGGGTATTAAATGGATTTTGTACGTGTGACTAATTAATTCGAAGTTAATTGTTTTCTTCTATACTATACGTATACTTTTGTAGGACTGATAATTATTATTGTTATTCTTGTTGATACGTTTGATAATTTGTAACAATTAATGATATTTATTTGAGAGAATGTATAAATATATTATAATATATTTATTCGTGCTGTTAGAATATAATTTAGAATTATTAGATTATATATTTGATTTATATTTAATTTAATAATTTAATAATGATTATTGTGAATTACTTAATTATTATATTATTATATTAGAATTGAAATAAATGTTATGAATTGTTGTAATTAATTAACCTTTATCATTTGAAACAAATAAAATGTACTAACTTATCGACTCGTTAGGATTACATTTTGACTTTAATTAATTGATATGAATTAATGAAAATAAAATTGACTATACTTCGTTTTAAAAATTCTTCCCTTAAGATTCCAAATATTAAAAGATTAGTAACAAAAAATAGAAAATTTAATATAGAACAAATGCATTATGAAAATGTTAATTAAAACTTAATTATACTACTTAAATATTTGCACGATAACGATTGATTAGTCGATTGATAAAGTAATGACTGCATTATGTATATTTGTATATAATGTATCTACGTACGATCGATATCAGTTACGAATCTACTTTAACAGTCCGTGGTTAGTAGGAAAATTGATAATGAGCTTGCACCATTACCAGGGCTTGCATCAATTATCGAAGCTTACCGAGGTACATTGAGTCCAATATACGACGTTAAATCGATTTTCAAAATCGACTGGGAAAATTATCAGAATTAAGCTAAACTTTCACCATGGTGAAACTACCATCCTTTAGGTTCATACTCTTCTCCCCCTTCACACTCACCCTTCTTATTCCCTAACTACCCCTTCGTCTTCTTGTTCTTCGTTTTTCATCTTCGTTCCTCCAATCCGTGTTATAAGAGCAACCCTTAAAGCGATTATAAGGTAAGGCTGTTAAGGCAAATAATATAGAGAAAGAAATAAAGAGAAAGATAGGACGAGTTAGTGGTACTTTAAAGAAATAATTAAAAAAAATAATAGGTAAGCCGAAACTCTCTCTCTCCCCCCTATCTTGGGCTTGTTTCGAAATGAAAAAGATACTTATGAAATTATGACTCATCGGGAATAGATAAAATATATTGTTTCATGTTATGGATTTAATTCTTTCTTTTTTATTTTTTTGTATTTTTCTTTGCAATTATTCCGTGTAACGAGAGAAAGAGAGAGAAAGAGAGAGAGAGAACAAATAGAACTTTATGAAATAAGCAATGAATGCACAAAAGAAGACACAAAAAAATAGAGACGGGAAGGTATACATTAGAAATCGTATAAAAAAAAAACCAAATTGTGCGAATGAATGAACGAAAATTCAAATATCGATTTTTACTAGGAATTGTTCGTATTAAAACTTGTGATCTCGTTAAACAATCAAATTTTTAAATTGTCGAGGATGAAAGTCATAGGTTGAAATATCATAACGAGATAACTATGAATAGACAGATCTGCATATATGTGTATATACATACAAATATGTACACATATATATACATATATATAATATATGCGAAAATAGTAATAATATTGTAGGACATTGTTCTTTTTTGTTTATTCTATTTATAATACAGATTGTATTAAATATTGAGAGGAACGTGGCACTGATTTTATTTTGTTTCTCTTATTTTTTTGTTTTTACCACAGTACTATATATATTTACATACATAAAGAAACATTTCTACGTGTCTATATATATATATATATATATATATATATATATATATGTACTTACATTATGTTACAAGAGTCTAAAAGTTTAGAAAGGAATCGCTCTCGAAACGAAACGTCGACGAAATTAAGACCTCTCGGAGAGTGTTCGGGTTCGCAAAACTTTTTCCTTCCCTTTAAAAAGCTCGCTTTACTTCCACATCTCTTCTCTCTCTCTCTCTCTCTCTCTTTCTCTTTTTCTGTCTCTGGGTTTTTTTTTTTTTTTAAATTCTTTTTATTCTTTTTATACAACGTTACTCACTCTCTCACAACTTTTCGTTGATTTCTCGTACGTATTAAATACTTCTAACAAAGTTATAAGAAGTATCTAATTATCTCGAGTAAATATTGTTTTTTTTTTTTCAAAAATAATCTACTGACGTTATGATTAATCTTACAATCATTTTGTTCGAAAATAATTATTATTTTAAACAACAGTACTATTTTTCTTATTAAAATAATTGCAACATTTTTTTTTTCTTTTCCATACGAACAAAATGTCGAGAACATACATTGCTGCATTTCTAAACAATTATAATCGATCATCCCCACACAATAAATTATCTAAATATTTTTTATTTTTTCTATCGATTAATAATAAAATAATAAAATAATTGAACAACGAGCTATACATATCTATTTCTAAAACTTTTTACCTAAAAAAAAAAAAACCAATACTAAACAAAAAATTATGTAAATATATTATAACTAAAGCATTTTGCTACAGGAGAATCTTCAAAAAAAAAAAAAAAAAAGCAATAAAAAAAATTCACGATTTTTCTAAGCATACATAAAAGTAAAATCACGTGACACACGTTTTGCGAGGAGCATAGAAGTTCGTTAAAAAACTTTCTTTCCGAAAAAGCACGGAGGAGAAGGAGGAAGAGGAGGAGGAGGAGGAGCTTTCGACGAGCTTGAGAAGAAGAAACTCTGACCGGAAAGGGAAAAGTTCTTGGACGATTTCTTCGGAAATACTTTTGGCTCTTCTTTTTCGCGTCCTTTCTCTTCTCTTCTCTTCGAAACAAATTTAACGAGCGTGCGAATGAAAAATTGGCCCGACGAACTTTTACGAAATCTGACCTCTACCCTCCCACACACACACACACCTCACCCCTCTCCCTCTCCTCATTTCCCTCTCATTCTCTCCTTCTTTCTTTTTATCTTTATTTATCTTTATATCTGTTACCAAAAGAATTTTAAAGTTTCAAGATAAGAGAGTTAACGAGAGTAAAAGTGAAAGCTAGCTAAAGCTCTCTCTTCATTGTCTTTCGAATTATATGAAGCCCTTTTTCTATATAAATTTGTTACTTCTTCCACCCCCACATATCGCAGCATATTATTCTGTTCGATTAAGTGCAATTGTGAAAGATCGAACAAAAGACAAAAAAAGATATAACAATTGAATAATAATAATAATAATAATAGACCGGTAACGTTGACAACGTGAAATATAATTGGACGAAATAGATTAAATAAATGAACAAAAGAAAATAAAAAGGAAAAATCTCTTTCCGAACTAATTAACTTGATTGTTCATATAACAACAACAAAAAGCAACAAGATTATCGAGATCAAATGAGTCTATCACCGTGTTCAGTGTCGGAATGTATTTTTGCACCGTTAATCGAGGTACGTTGATCTTCCCTAAGGATTCCCGAAGGACAAGAAGGTCTGTGCCTTCTTCTTGGTGGTGTAGGAGTATCCTCGGATTTATCATTCATGATAGAATCGTCGAGACTGTATCGACGCATTGGTTCATCAGGTTTATCCCTAATAATAATTTTCTTATCGTAATTCTTATTAACACGACTATCATCATCATCATCATCATCATCATTATCATCATTATAAATTAATTCTTTTTCTTCCCATGCACAAAATGATACTTTCCTTTGATTTTTCGGTGAATTCTTTTTAAGAATATCACCCAATGAAACTGGACGTAAATCGTTCCTTCTGTCAGAATGTTTATCGATTGGAATAATTTTTGGTTCGATTTGTTCATTACAACCAGATGGTGACAAGGATCTATCATCTGAATGATGTTCATTTTTAGAAATATCCTGTTGATCGTTTTGTTCTTTTTCCAACATATCCGACAAAGCTACTTCCAATTCGGTTAAACTTGGTGTCATCGAACTAAAATTACTACCCTCGGCAGCTAAAGCTGCTTCTTCTTTTAAAACCTTCAATAAAATTGAATGTTCGTTTTCAACAATCTCAGCTTTGATTTTATTCTCTGGACTAGGTGGTGGGGTTTGAATTTTCTTCATTTTAAGATTCTTTTCGTCGTCCCCATCGAAGAACGACGTATTTCTATCAGGTAACATCTCACGTGTCAACAATTCCTCCGATATCGTCCTGATCATCTTATTTGTCTCACGTAAACGTAATTCTTTCGTTTCGCATGACACATCAACTGGATCGTTGGGTTCACTCTCGTTCGATAAACTCCTACCAAAGATCATCCTCTTTGAATTAGATCGATCGAAATCATCCTCTTTTTCCTCTTCTTCTTCTTCCTCCTTCTTTTTCTTCCCGATTTCACCACCGATGTTATCTGTTAAATAGAAGAGTCGTGTTCTAACTAGTCACGTATTTAACCACTTTTTATTACTTTTTTTATTAACTATTACAATTCAATTCGAAGGATAATCTTCTTCTTTCATTCACTCTACTACTATTCAAATAAATATTTTTTTTTAAGTGAAGGTGAGGGGGAGGGAAGAAAAATTTCATTCAAAAAATATACCTGAATAAAATGAATTGATCCGATTAGAACAAACAGGTTCCTTGCATAATGGTGGCTTATCTGGTTTCGATAATTCTTTCGTTTCCTCTTGAATACATCTAAAAATAATATGAAACATTTAACGAAGCATAAATTATTATTATAAATGTGTTTTTTACAAACCTGTCTTGTTCCATTAGAATACAATTCAACTTGGTATCGTTAACAAACTCGGTTGGTTTCCCAAAGGATACTGGCTTTTGCACTACGTGAGTATTTTCACGTGTCTGATGAAAATCCACCACGTCACGATCCGCTATATCTGGATCCTGAAACAATTGAATTGAATTTATTATTTTATATGTAATTATATTTCTCTAATAGGTAACATAACGTTAGTTTAATTTTCGAGAACTATTATTGAATTTGATCGAAATGTTTAATCGATCATGTTTTATATTGTTGTAGAATATAATTATTTTCAAACATATCATCTATCACGATTATAGATATTATTTATAATTAATTGAAATAATTTATTTAATTGAATTAATTCATATTATATATTTAATATACAGTAGAGAATTTTGTAATTTGTAAACCGATAACTTTATATATATATATATATATAATCCTATATAATTATATGAAAAATTAATTTATTACGATATATAATATATTATTTATAAATTGAAACAATTAATTATAACAAATAAATCCAAATGAATTGATAGTATGAGAATATTTCATGAAAAGTTAAATATCGATTTGAAAAGTCAGACTTTATTCTATTCCTGAGAGTTATATACCTCATGGGGCCTTTGGTGGTGGTTCAATTCGCAATTACCGATGTCACCAATGTCCCAATCCTCCAATTTACTTGAATCGTACTTCAAGAATTCAGTCTTGCCATCGGAATCAGTGCAAGGAAGCTTTCCTTCTAGTACTTCATATTCCGATAGATTTTCGGTACTACCATGACGTGAAATATAGTCCTCCAATCGGATACTTGTTTTCTGTGTCCAATCAAAACGAATTCCGAATGGTTCTTAAATAAATTATTTTTCTTTTTTTTCTTCTTTTTTTTCATACAAAAATACATACATACGACCTTCCTATTACACATTCCTATTTTGAAATTTTGATCAGAAAAAAAAAGAGCAAAAAAAGGGGTTATCAAAGTTATGCTTCGATCGTTCGAGGCTTAAGTTAAAAAGGTTAAATTAGATTTTTCGGCGGGAAGAACTTTACGTGGTAGTTTGAAATCGATAGATTTAAAAGGTAGATGCTATCGGGAGATGAACTCCGATAATTGTGTGGAAAAGAGCATTTCTACTGACGCGTGGAATAAAGATGAAGAGTAAAGAAAAATGGTAGAAGGAAATTGAAATTTAAAAATAAAAAAAATAGAAAAAAAATAAATAAAAGAAAAAGAAAAAGAAAAAATGGAGAGGAAATTGAAGAGAAAGAATGAGAGAAGAATATATAAGAAAAATATACGACATATATATCTTTCTCTCTCTCTCTCTCTCTCTCTCTCTCTCTCTCTCTCTCTCTCTCTCTTTGATATATCCAATTTTATATACGTATACCTGAAAAATGTGACAGAGAAAGATAGAATAAAAAATATAAATAAATAAAAAAAAATATAAATATATATATAAAAAGAAGTCCGAAGAGAAAATAAATATAAACCTGAGAGAAAGGTTGAAGGAAGGATTCGACCGGAAGAGATCCTGTACTGCTTCTGACGGGTCTCCTTGATCTTATTTTCTCGTGTTCCCCTTGTTCATCGTTGTTCCTTTTCATCTCGTATCTACCTACGTCCAACTCGTCGTAATTTGGAAGACTAACGGTACTGTAGTTCTTTGGTCTGATATTAGCTTCTAATAAATTGCCATCGTTTTTATTAATAGTATCATCGATTTGTCGTTTTATTAGCAATTCTTTGGACCTTTTACACGTATCAACATTGTCTTTTTGATTAGGCGTAGACGAAGAATCCTTGATGGTACGTCCGTTAACAAATCTCTCGTATTCCTCGGTATCGTTTATTTTTTTATTCTGATTAGTATTTTTGTGTATCTTCTTATCGTAGTTCTGGGATAACCTTTTGCCGGAAACCACCTCGCTCGATATTATTCTTCCGGTACCGTTAACCTGTCGAAGAGAAAATCGATAGTTGCGGTCGTTAACGAGCACTTTGGATTTATCGATCACGGAAGAAGTTACTTTTGGCCATACTGATTGGCCAATTATTGGCCACAGGACAAGCGCACTGGGTTCTATGTCTTTCTATTTCTCACTCTCTCACTCTCACTTTCACTCATTCTCTCTCTCTCTCTCTCTCTCTCTCTCTCTCTCTTTTGGTTCTTCCCTAAACGATCCCATTTACGAGTAACCAAAATTGCCACTTATAATACCTCGGTAATACTCGCCTTGTGCTCGTATATCTCCTTCGTCCTTTTACCCTCAGGCATTACACCTTTTGAATATTCCTTCAACCTAGGAGAATCTCTCGTACCATTCGTTTGATTTCGGTAAATGCAACCTTCATCTTCTGATTCCTGTTGCTGCTGCTGCTTCTTCTTCTTCTTCTTCATACCAACATCACCACCACCAACACCACCACCATCATCATCGTCACTGTCAACCCTACCAACGACATCCTCCATAGTCGCATAATCGTTCAGCAACATTCGTGGTGAGTTGTTACTCACTACAGATGAATATAACGGCTCCTCGCATGAATCTACATGCCGCAAATTGCACATCGTTTTATCTGCAATCTCGTCCGGTTTTGGTGGCAATGGTCTACCTCTATTTCTCTTCTTTCGTCTGGGTGGTGGCACCGGTGTTACGTCTTTCAAATTATTCGATCCTATAAAACACATTTATTCATTCATTCATTCATTCATTCATTCATTCATTCATATTTATTTTACGTTTATTTAATAGTACATTAAAATGAGAATATTTTTTTCAATTACGGATATAACCAATGGATTTAATCGATTTAAATCAGTTATTTTACATACGAATTTAAATGAATTTACTTAAGGGATCATAAAAGTTGTACAATCCTATCGATACGAAATTTTTTACATATACTTTTTATATATACAGATTATAATTTTTATTCGAAAAAATCGTTCGGTTAATGAACGTTTTTCAATTACGAATTCAAATAAATTAACTTGAAACGTCATAAAAATTATGCAATCATTTGAAAAAAAAAAAAAACATTTCTATATACTTTCATCCAAATTATAATTCCCCTATCACAAAATGTAAAATAATTTATTTCACTCGTAGGTTGCTTATGAAAAATAAATGATGAAAACAAGCATATACATAGAAAAAAAAAATAAAAGTAAAAAAACAAATTCTTACTGATAGACGTGGGAGTGGTCGTAGGTGGATAGAGATTCGTGTCTATGGTCAAGTTGGTGAGAACCGAGTTAGGTCTTGGTGTACTGGGTACTTCCAAGTTAACGTCCACCCAATCACTTGGTTGAAAGGGTCTGTCGACTGAGTCGATGCTTCTACCTCTAGTGAGGACATCTCTGGGTGGTGAACCAGCGTATCCAATCTCAGAACTGCCAATGAAAAATAAAAAAAAAAAAAGAATGATTCTTCTCACCTCGATGTTTAAGTCAAAATAACACACGATACATTATTTTTCTCTCGTTGTTTTAATCTCAAACATTTTTCCAATAATTAAAAGGACGTTTTATTTTTATTTTTAACGTAAAACGATCAAAAAAGATTTACGTATGTATATGTATATATGCATGTGGAAATTTAAAGCAATTTCGTTTAAAATTTGTCTGAAAAAAAAAAATGATGGAAATTAAATGTTTAGAAAGCACATGATTAGTTTACTGATTTAATATAACGATTGATAATAATTTACGTATACTTGACATAGACATATCATTTAAATTTTATTCTAATAATTGCAAAGATGATTAGATCGAAATTGTTCATTATACTAACACAGTTAAGATAAATCTACGTGATCGGTAAATCATTTGATTCTAATCGCTTAACAGGATGATTAGACAAATATGATTGAAAACACATGGTTGTTGGATGAACGAGAAGATTTCTCTGCAGATAAATATACGTATATCTATATATACCTAATACATATAAATATATATAATTTGTGGTAGATTGATTGAAAAACTCATCGTCGGTAACGTGAGTTCTACTGATTCATGGTTCAGCGTGATTAGTGGGAGGACGTCAATGCGAGCAACGCATATAACGGCCGCCGACGCATGCACTTTATTTATGCACTGCGTTAAGCTCTCTGCCTCATATAATCCAACAACGACACTACCGTAATTTATGTCCCAACGTGCGCGTATAATCGACGCGAGAACGTCACTCTCATTGTTCCACACTGAATCGGATATAAATTGAAAGCCGAATTATCCGATTAATCCTGGTCCTCAAGCGAATTTCAAGATAAGATCGAAAATGAGAGAGAGAGAGAGAGAGAGAGAGAGAGAGAGTGAGAGAAAGGGGTGGGGGTAGAAGGAAGGAATAGGAGAATAAGATAGAGGTAGTAAATCCAAGAGAAAGAAAGAGAGAGAGAGAGAGAGAATCCTTGAGAACCGATGTCTTTGACGTGCAAATTTACGTTGAAATTCATATCTGNACGAGACACCTAAGGAATGTCGATGTAATAAGCGTATATATCTATGCGAAAGAAATAGAAAGAGAACAGGAGAGAGAGAGAGAGAGAGAGAGAGAGAGAGAGAATCCTTGAGAACCGATGTCTTTGACGTGCAAATTTACGTTGAAATTCATATCTGAGTTTACTTTGGATTAAATTCTATTATTAGATGATTTAATTGAAAATATTCAATTTGATTTAATTAAATTAATTAGATTGGTTTTCTTTTTGACATAAATATTCAATATTTTTTTTATATTATATTAATGTCTTGTTATAATTCTAAAAATTATTTTTTTATATTACAATTTTGATAGTATGTAAAATAAAATTTTAAATGATTATATATAGTATGCGAATTATCTAATATATTATATTATATTATATATAATATTACTTAAATTATTCTAATAATAATAATAATAATAGTATATTAGGTGGTTTTGAAAGTTATTTCATTAATTACCGATACCAAATTTTATTCTGAACTTCCAAATTATTTTATATTCTTGGAAACAGAAATTTCAGATGTAATTTAGAATTTTCTTGCATTTCGATCCATCAAATAGGTTTTTTCATTTTGACGTCGTATCGGTAATGGAAAATCAAAGTCAATATTTTCATCGGTATTTTGACTTTTTCATTAACGTAAGTGTAATAATGCAATCCAAGGGAGAACAACAAAATCATGTGACGTTTACGTCGAGAATATGTCAAGTGAATGTCATTGTCAAAATTGCTTTTCGAAATATTTCATATTTTTTGATTATTATTATTTAAATATATATATGATAAAAATATATATTAAATAAAAATATAACTTTTTTATTTAAATATAATTCTCCTTGAGAGTTCAAAAAAAAAATCTGTTATCGAATGTAAAAAAAAAAAAAAAAAAAAAGAACAAAATGTTTTAATTTACACATATCTTTCAGATAAAACTGATTTTCCGGAATACCTACATTATACAATGTAAACAAAAACAAAACGATTTAGAGAAGATGTCAAGATATGTCATTTCTAACGAACGAACACGAAGAAACGCGATCGACTGAAAAATGCATTGCATATATTAACAATAAAAAGTCCAGTATGATTCATCCATGCATACAAATGAATGAAAATCATTTCTACTAACATACCCCTTCTTCCCATATATGAATAGATACATGCATGGAAAACGTATAAATATATACAAACAATACGCATATATCTTCTAACTCATATCTCAAAATGTAACTTCGTATTCGCGTTATCCTTAAAACGGGATATTACTTGGTATATAGTATTCTACGACAAGATTTCTCTTAGAAGTTCATTTCCCTCTCAAAGTTTTCCTAAGCGAACACCATAGCACAATTTGCATTCCTTGTTTATATATAACCGAATAATTAACACGGAAGCGGTTTGACGAACGAGCAAGTAAGTAAGCAACCAACCAACCAAACAACAAGTATACTATATACATATATATACATATACACAGACACGAATATATATATATTTAAATAAATATATGTATGCATGTATAAATATTTGTCCCTTGAGAGATCGAGAGTGGGCCTAATGCGAAAATAAATGGCACTATCTCCACCGTTAATTACAAGTTGACGATAACGTTGCAAACGCGCGCGCGCGCGCTCGAATGCATATATCTATCTACATAGATACACGTATATATTATA